GGAGTAAGGGGCTAGTAACCCCTTCTTCTGTATACATTATTGAATGCAAAAAGAAGAAAAAATTTATTTCTTCTTTTTTGGATGACTGTGCCTGGAGCATACCTTAGTAGGAGACAGCTGGTGTGTTTAGAAAAATAATGACAACAGTATAATAGAATAATAATTATGTTATTGCTAGATATCCTTGCACAGTAAGATCCCTGATGCAGGTGATGGGTTTTCGGCCCCAGAACTGAAGTAACCTGGAGTATACTTGGAGGTTGTTCTGGGGGTCAATGCCCCCATGGCCTGGTCCATGACCAGGTCTTGTAGTGGATCAAGGCCTGATTAACCAGGCTGTTACTGCTGGCTGCATGCAAACCAGTGCACAAATCACAGCCTGGCTGGCCAGGGGTCTATTGGCAATCCCCCTTATGTATACCACAAACAGTAACTACTAAAGCAGTAACTACTAGAGTGGTAAGCTTGTCCAAATATACAAGTACAAATAGAAATAGAAACACAAATAGCCAGATTTTCACTTTAGGGAAGTTATTAGTAGAATATTCAAGAGGTTGTTAGTACAATAGAGTAAATCAACCATTAAAATCACATTATGAAATACTGTGTAGTCTGTAGCCAAACAAACAAGAGGGCTTCCACATAGATTACATGCAACTTTTGTGGAAATTGGGCTCACACCCCATGTGCAGATATTCAAGAATTATCTACAAGAGGTATTAAATCAGGAAAGTGTTTTTGGGTATGCCCAAATGAGATCAATCTGTGGACTAAAATCACATTGGTATTAAAAGAGGATAACATTAAATCAGCCTTCATAGAAAACCTGGAAGCATTTTATAACAGATTGGAAAATAAAAGGTCTGGGCTGGATGGTGCTATCGCCCATCGTGCGGATGCTGTCCTGACTGACAGTAACTGTATGACTTGAGGTGCTGGCCAGGTAGTCAGGAACTGTAAGGTTGGAGGTGCTGTCCTGGTAGACTCCACTAGTAATAGTGAAGATAAATTACCAAAAACAACTGGTGAGAATTCCATTGTTAGTACTAGTGAAGACAGAAATGAGACAGGAAAACATGCACCAACAGGGAATAGTCACAAAAATCCAAGGCAAACAGAAACTAAGCTTGTGCAAATATTATGCACTTGGTATCTGCAGGCATGGAATATGGTAAGACACATAGGCAACAGTTAAGCAATTTTATTATGAAACGTTTCGCCTACACAGTAGGCTTCTTCAGTCAAGTACAGAAAGTAAGCAGGAACAGCAGAGATATGAAGACGATGTAATCAGTCCATCACCCTTGAAGTCATAGATGTGAGGTTGTCAGTCCCTCACCCTGGAGAAGTTCTGTTCCATAGTCTGGAACTATCTGAAGATCAAGCAACAGTTTGGAGACTTAAATACTGTCAGAAGGAGAGGTGCATAGTAGTAGTAGTAGTAGCAGTAGTGAGAATGTAGCCACTGAGAGGTCACGACCCTCTCAGATCAAACAATTCTCACAACTACTACTACTCTGCACCTTTCCTTCTGACAGTATTTAAGTCTCTGCACTGTCGCTTGATCTTCAGATAGTTCCAGACTATGGAACAGAACTTCTCCAGGGTGAGGGACTGACAACCTCAAATCTATGACTTCAAGGGTGATGGACTGATTACATCATCTTCACATCTCTGCTGTTCCTGCCTACTTTCTGTACTTGACTGAAGAAGCCTACTGTGTAGGCAAAACATTCGGAATGAAGTTGCTTAACTGTTGCCTATATGTCTTACCTACCAACTTGTTGGTATTGTATACCATTTTGATATTCAGGCATGGAATATCTGGAAAAACAGATGGGACAAGTAACTTTGACCACCCTAGAAAATGCCTTGCCCATATGACAACAGGAAAATGCAAACTCCCTTCCTGTAAGCTTTTTCACCCTGAAATGTGTACCTCTTCAGTACAGGAAAGACAGTACTATAACTTATGTTACCAGGCACACCATCTAAAGAGGACAAAAAGATACAAAACATCCAGACCATGGGAAAACCTGGGTAGCCACAGCCACTCCAGAGAGATTTTTTAGTGTCAGGAAGGAAAAAAAACTGGCAGGAAATGGCAGAAATTGTACACCAAATCCAGTCATTTCTGGAGTGGAATCACAGTCAATGGCCTCCACTCCAAACCAACGGATACAGATACTAGTGCCAGAAAAAGTCCCCCCTTCCCAAGTGTTTACCTTGAGAGTCTGCAAATACTCTAGATTTTAACTCTAATTTCATTCTATTGTGAATTTTCAGGATATTAAGCACCATGGATTGCTTTACCAAGCTCGGCACCAAAGAGATCTCCCTCCCTATGTTTTTTCCTCATCTGGCCTTCTGCTTCCAAAACCAATTCATATTTTATTTCCTTAGGCAAATAGAGTTTTATTAAAAAACATGCATGTTTCTTGCTAATTAATGATTATATTAATGCATAACTAAATTTAACAATATGAGACATTCTCCTTACCTAGCATTATCAAGCTGAGGAGGAAGTTTCTCAGCATCACACACAAGGCAGAGCTGAGGACAGGGATCTCCACAAAACCCACTACAGACATGGCCACATTTTAACAGTTCAGTACATGACTCCTCACACAGAGGTATAGAACACTTGTCACTGCATTTACTTGAACACTGATGATGTTTGCATGTCCAGGGACACATTTTCTGTAAAAAATATTAAAATTAATAAATAAATAGCCCCTTGCCAGGAGCAAAGGGCTGTATAATGAAATGTAAAAAGAAGTAAAACTATATGAAAGCACTTCTTTTTTGGGTCACCCTGCCTTGGTGGGAGATGGCCAGTGTCTTAAAAACAAAATTTAAATGTATGTTTGTATTCATGTATTTATTTTTATTTATTTATTAATTTGAACATGATACATTGAAGTACAAAGTTATTACAGTGCAACATGCCAAAGCCCCTTGTATGCAGAGCATTATGAGCAGGCTTAAAATTAACTTAAGATTAACTAAGCAATGATATATTATGTTTAATGTTTAGAGAGTAAATGTAGTAGGGGACCTAAATGCTAAAGTGTGAGAAACTGTTGCAGAGAGCATAATAGGTAAGTTTGGGGTACCAAGGGTAAATGATAATTGGGAGCCCTTAACTGAACTTTGCAGAGAATCAAGTTTGGTAATAGGTAATACATATATTAAAGAGAGAGAGAATTAATAAGTACACGAGATATGATATAGATCATCATGACAGCAGTTTGATGGAACATGTATTGGTGGATAAAAGGATGATGGATGGACTTCAGGATGTGAATGTTTATACAGGGGCAATAGATACATCAGATCATTATTTAGTTGTAGCCACAGTGAGAATAAAAGGTAGATGGTGTAAAAGGAGAATGACATCAGCAAGTAAGAGAGAAGTTAAACTTTATAAACTGTATGAGGAGGGAGTTAGAGTAAAATGTAAGAAACTGTTAAGAGAAAGATGGTTAGTGAGAGTATAGGTAATGAGGAGGTTGAAGAGGTTTAGGGTAGATTTAACAAGGCAATGTTAAAGTGTGCAGGAGAGGTTTGTAGATACAGTGGAACCCCGAATATCGGCCATAATTTGTTCCAAAAGGTCGGCCTAAATCCGAAAAGGCCTAAATTCGAAGCGATATTTTTTATAAGAATTAATGTAAATACAATTAATCTGTTCCAGACACCTAAAAATAATAAACAAAAAAAAATACATTTTGTAAAGTTTAACTATAGTTTTACATAAACAAAGCAATGACAATTACGTATAAATAAACATTTAAATCATTATTATATACCTGTATTGAGGACTCTTGTTGGTGTATGGAAGACAGGGAGGAGGGGAGAGGGAGGAGAAGTTATTGTTTGGAAGGGGAATCCCCCTCCATAATGACTTCAGGTATCAAAGCTCTATCTGGGGTTACTTCCCTTATTTGTCATTTATTGCCACTAGGACCAGCTTGAGAGTCACTGCACCCCTGTCACACAAAAAAACTGTCCAGAGAGGTCTGTTTCTGGTGCCTCTAAGATTTGCCTGAAGTATGCCAAGGTTTTGTCACTGAACTGTGTATGCCACTATGCTTCTTAAATCTGTCAAACCAGCCTCTGTTGGCCTTAAATTCACTAACATCAGCACTAGTTCCAGGCATTTTCTTTACAGGATCCTCAGGCAACTGCCTTGCCTTTTCACAAATGATTGTCTCTGAAACACTATCTCCTGCTAACTGTTTTTCGCTGATCCACAACAACAACAACTCCACATTTTCCATTGTTTGTGATCTTTTTCTGTTAACATGTTTACCCCTTTTGCCACATCAGCTTCCTTAATTTGTTCTTCCTTTGCCAGGATAGAAGTGATTGTTGATGTGTTTTTGCCATACATCCTGGTAAGCTGGAGCACACGCACACCACTGTTGTATTTTTCTACAATTTCTTTCTTCAATTCTACCGTGTTTCTCACTTTCTTTACCAAAGGGCTGGTGCTCTGAACTTTTTTTGGGCTATGGTCACAATAAACAATCACAAAAACCAATGGATATTAGGGAAATGTTTGGATGAATGCGAAGAGTACATACTCACTCACCGAGAGACACATGGAGACTGACTCACATACACACAGTGTATCAGCAGGAGGCAGGCTGATGCGTCTAATATGGCCAATTTACGAGGCACCAGCCGAAACACAGAGCAAAATTAGGGCCCAAAAACCAGCCTAAATGCAATTCGGCCGATACCTGCAGTGGCCAATATTTGGGATTCTACTGTATAGGAGGGTGGGTGTGGGAGAGAAGAGCAGAGATTGGTGGAATGATGAGGTAAAGAGAGTGGTAAGAGAAAAAGTTAGCATATGACATACAAAATGTACAGAGAGCCTTCACAGCATGCATAAGGTGATAAAACACCTCAATTGCTGGGAGTGCTTGAAGTTCTTGAACATGTACTCCCTAGAATGCAGACAGGAGAGATACATGACTATATACACCTGGAAAATCCTAGAAGGACTAGTACCAAACTTGCACATGAAAATCACTCACTACGAAAGCAAAAGACTCGGCAGACGACGCAACATCTCCCCAATGAAAAGCAGGGGTGTCACTAGCACATTAAGAGACAAAATAAGTGTCAGGGGCCCAAGACTGTTCAACTGCCTCCCAGCATACATAAGGGGGATTACCACCAGACCCCTGGCTGTCTTCAAGCAGGCACTGGACAAGCACCTAAAGTCGGTACCTGACTGGCTGGGCTGTGGCTGTGGATTGCGTGCAGCCAGAAGTAACAGCCTGGTTGATCAGGTCCTGATCCACCATGTGGCCTGGTCACAGACTGGGCTGCAGGGATATTGACCCCCGGAACTCTCTCCAGGTAAACTCCAGGTAAAACAGAAGTGATATAAGAAGGGTGCAGAGTAAGGAGTAAAACGAAGATGAGGAAATGTAAAAGGAGAGCAAATGGGAGAATGGGGAGGTTCTGTGAACTGAAAATCACAGTGAATTACAATGTTCACTGAAACAAGATGCAATTTTTCAGAAAGTGTTAAATTAGTGATTAATTTCTCTTACTGATAGAGTTGTGAGAGATGAATGCAAGTACTGAGGGATGACGTGGGCTTAAATATTATGAAAATGATATACAGCAAAATTTGCTGCTGATACAAATAATAGGAGAATATGAAAAGAAGCTGCAAAAGTTGGTGGAAGAACTTAGCAGAGTACACAAAAAAAACTGAAAGTGAACATCAAAAAGTGAAAGGAAATGAAATAAGAACATGTTGAAGCACTGGAAAAGTGGTCTTTGTACTAGAGGATGTATGGAGGAAATGAATGCATGTAGGTATTTGGGATGTGTCAACAGATTGGGTTATGAAAAATTAGGTAAATTACAGAAAAGGCAAAGATAAAAAGCAGAGATGTTAATATGTGGAAAAGTTTTTGATCAATTGATGCTAAATGGAAAGGTACTGCAGTATAATGGTGCTGACACTGTCATGCAGATGTGAGAAATATTCTTTAGATGTAGTGAACTTGAGACTGGTAGTAGTGAAAATGTCGTGTTTAAGCTCAATGTGTGATGTGAATATTATGCAGAGAATACAGATGAGATTAGAAGATGGCATGTGTAAGGTGTTGGGAGCAGTGAGAGGATTAAATACCATGATTTTATGTTCATTCTTTTATACTGGGGTTATTGTTGAGTCAGGCCGTGGAGAGTACACTTGTTATTGTTACTCTGGCTTTCATTAACCTACAACCATAACAGTGGCGGCGAGGATGGGATCGTCAGAGCCAAGGGTAGTGAGCCACTGTGTGCGGAAGTAGTAGAGTATTGGCAGCCCAGAATGTTGCAGCAGAGTGGTGATAATTGTACTACAGCAGCTTGGATAAACATGGCACTGGGAACACAAGGAAGGTTGGAGCCTTTCAACCCACTTGAGATCTTACTGGACCTCTGGCTAAGTTTGTTGGAAGCCAATTTTGCTCATTTGGGAATTAAAGAGCACGATAATAAGAGGAACTTCTTGCTAGTGCCCCTGGGATCATAAACCTAGTGTTTTAGGTAATGTGTGTGCAGCAGATTAACCACACACAAAGAGCTATGATGACTTTGGCAGAGGCTCGTCAAAAAATAGAATGGAGGGATTGCATGACTGCAAGCCTCATAGAACAGCATAATAAACGTTATTAACCATTTCAGGGTAGGCAGGCCCTCTCTAAACTTGTTTCAAGGTCAGAAATTTTTCAAAAAAAAAAAAATTATCATGAAAAGATAGAAAATCTTTTCCTGATCATAATGACACCAAAAGTATGAAATTTGAGGGAAAACTTACGGAATTAGGCTCTCGCAAAGTTAGCAGTCTCGATGATGTTTACACATTGGTGATTTCGCCCACTTTGAGCCTTATTTTCGGCTAATTCCAATGTACCAGTCGACAAGTATCATACCTTTTCCGCTAGAAATCCATTTTTTCTATTGAATGAGTACAAGAAACCACCAATTTACTGATTTCAACTATCCAGTACAGTAATCAGAAATAGGTAATTTTCTGAATTTCACACAAATTTCAAGATGCCAATTTCCAAATAGGGTCCAGAATAAACAAGACACATTCAAGGCACTAAGATAACATTTCCTCTGTTCATTACTCACGTCCCCAGACCTCTGTTACATTTCTTTTGCTTTCCACTTTGAATTTTTATTCTAACAAAAAATAGAAGATTCATGTTATGCAGACTACAGGTCCTCCATCACAAATCCGGCATCATTGGGACCTGTAGTGTGCCGGATTACTGAGTTTGCCGAATTACAGAGTGGTTAGGTTAGAATACACTTAATAAAATTTTGCCTCGCATAGCGCTAAAAAATTCGCTCAACGCGATTTGTCCGAGACGCATCCATGCGGCCTGAGCAAGCCTCACTTGTTCTGCCAGTGGCATTGTTTACAAGCCAGCCTCCGCGGTAACATTCAAGCATACAATCGGAACATTTCGTATTATTACAGCCTTTTTATACTGATTTCACCTGAAAAATAAGTGACTATGGGCCCCAAGAAAGCTTCTAGTGCCAACCCTACAGGAATAAAGGTGAGAATTACTATGGAGATGAAGAAAGAGATCATTGCTAAGAATGAAAGTGGAGTGCATGTCTCGAGCTGGCCAGGTTTTTATAGTTAAACCCCCAATCAACCATCGCTACTATTGTGTCCAAGAGAACGGCAATCAAGGAAGCTGTTCTTGCCAAAGGTTTAACTGTGCTTTTGAAACAGAGATCGCAAGTGATAGAAGATGTTGAGAGACTGTTATTGGTGTGGATAAACAAAAAACAGATAGCAGGCGATAGCATCTCTCAAGCGATCATAAGTAAAAAGGCTAGGAAGTTGCACGAGGATTTAATTAGAAAAATGCCTGCAACTAGTTGTGATGCGAGTGAATTTAAGGCCAACAAAGGTTGGTTTGAGAGATTTAAGAAGCGTAGTTTCATACATAGTGTGATAAGGCATGGTGAGGGTGCCAGTTCGGACCAAACAGCAGCTGAAAAATATATGCAGGAATTCAAGGAGTACATAGACAGTGAAGAACTGAAACCTGAACAAGTGTTTAACCCTTAAATGATCCAAACAGATCGATGTTCAAATTCATAGTGCTACAAAAGTAGATCTGCTTTTTTTTTACATATTTTCAAATATAACAAAAAATGTAAATAAAAGTTTTTTTACACGTTTTCACATGTAAAACAAAAAAAAAAAGTTCTACATTTTTTTTTACATACTTTCAAAATGTTGAAAAAAAGATATATACGTTTCATGGATGAAAATCCCCTCAGACAGCTTTTGCAAGCCGTCCCTGGTGACTATTCCCCTGTTGTGAAACATTTGGGAAAAAGTCATAAAGGAACGAGAGGTACGATATGGACAGATATGTTGTGCGACAGAAGTCCAGTGACTCTGAAGCTGGTCCTAGTGGCATTAAAAGAAGAAGGGAAGCAACCCCAGAAAAGGACTTGACACCTCAAGCCCTAATGGAAGGGGATTCCCCTTCTAAACACTAAAACCATCCAGTCTCCCCTCCTCCCATCCATCAATCACCACCAGATCTTCAATAAGGTAAGTATCATGTAACTGTGCATGTTTTCTTAAGTTTGTGTGTATTAAAATTAATATTTCATGTGGTAATTTTTTTTTTTCATACTTTTGGGTGTCTTGCACGGATTAATTTGATTTCCATTATTTCTTATGGGTAAAATTAATTTGCCTAACGATAATTTCGCATAACATTGAGCTCTCAGGAACGGATTAATAGCGTTATGCGGGGTTCCACTGTAATAATAATAATAATAATAATGTTAATAATATCTTTATTTACTACACATGCATGTACAAGGTATACAGGCCTAGCTGACATCAATAACCCAACAAAAAGCTGCAGTAAGAATAATCACTAAATCCCATCCCTGGCAACACACCCCCCCACTCTTCATAGATCTACACTTACTATCTGTTCAGTATATCCACACTTACTACTGTGCAATCTACATCTACAGGACCTTAAATTCCAATATTAACCTTGACCTAAAATGCATTCTTGATAGTTGTGACAGAACCCACAGGCACAACACCAGACACAAACATCTCTATGACATTCCCCGTGTCCGACTAAACCTTTACAAAAATTCAATGTATGTCAAAGGCCCTAAAATCTGGAACACCCTACCTGAAATTCCAAAACTGCAGACACATTCATCACCTTCAAAACTACCATCAGAAAACATCTTATCTCCCTGATACACCCTGTCAACTAATAATACGAATACCACCTGGTGGTTCACACTAACACTCACTCACCCATTTGACCATAAACAGAAATATCAATCTCAATCTCAAAATAATGAATCTTAACTAGTCAAAAGTTGGCCTGTGATACTCCAATACTGAAACTATGTATAGTGCCAAAACAAAAGCATTCACATTGCTAAACTCACAACTAGTATTTAGTCACTTAGCCATAATACCAACTTATCTCATAATTCTGTAACATTTTAAACCTAAGATTTATTATAAGTCTGCCCGAAATGCCTAGCCATGCTAGGCGTTCTAGTGGTACA